AGGGAATGCAACCGAGCTGACGGACAAGCCAGCACAGGCATGTGACCAAGGTCCCCACCACCATGGCAACGGAGCTCGAGGCACAGGGCTCAGAATCGTCTGCTTGGGGGATGGTGGAGGATGTGTTTATCCTGATGCCTGTCCCACATCAGGCTCCAGTGGTCCCACAGCTATTAACCCCAACCCCCTCCTTCCAGTGTACGTGACAAGCAGCAGCGGCATGGTGGATGTGGTCAAACCTTACAGGGAACCGTCTTGGGCATCAGCAGCTTAAGGAAGAAGTAGAACAGAGAGGGTGCAGCCACAGGACATGTCCAGTCAAAGCAGTCACACACACAGGCTGGTTCAGGCCCACTAACTAGTGCTTCTTAAAATCCAGGACCCAGAAATTCTTTATCAGGGGGGCTATAGATCAAAACCATTTTCACAGTATTAAGATGACAGCTGTCTTCCCTATTCTTGTTCTCATAAGTATGCAACGGAGTCTTCCAGAGGCTTTGTGATGTGTAGTGACATAACAGATCCAATGCAGAAGGAGATATGAGAACAAGCTATCTTCCACTAAACCAGGTAGTAAAGAGATTTGCAAAAATGTAAAGCAATTCTACTTGTCTCAGTATGTTTTTTTGTTTTGAAAAATATAGCTGTTTTTCATGAAATATATATGTTAAATTTCACTATATTTTTGGAAAAAGATTATATAGTAATAATTCAGGTTAAATGTTTATAAAACAGAAACTATTTTTCATTATCTGATTAGAATGTGATAATCAAATTAAAATTTTAAAAGCATTTACTTATTTGAGAGGCTGAGACATACACACGCAGAATGCATCTCCTATCCGCTGGTTTACTCCTCAAATGTTGTCAACAGCTCCAGCTAGGCCAAGCTCAAGCAGGGGACCAAGAACTCAACCCAGGTCTCCCATGTGGGTGGCAGGGACCCAACTTCTTGAGCAATCACCTGCTGCCTCCCAGGGTCTGTGTTAGCAGAAGCTGGAATCAGGAGATGGAGATGGGAATCAAACTCAGGCAGGCGCGCTAACTGCTAGGCTACACACCTGCCCCTCAACTTCAGAACAGAAAAGTAACAGCTTTATTATTTATAGGTAAATATTTAATTTCTAAACATAACTTTATACATAAAATCTCTTTGGGGCTCTTTCCAAGGATAAAGGGATTCTGAGCTTTAAAAAAAAACAGGTGGAGAATCCTTACACACAATTAATCAAGACTCTCAAAGAACTGCAGCCAGTTTGAGAAACACTGGTGCAACATTTTTGACCAAGAACAATGTGGCTGGAAAACAGCACATTAGTTACTCTGAGGTTTAAAATGCAGTGCGGTACTAGAGTTATGTAAGGTTCCATCCCGACCCATTTCAGAACCAGGGCCCTTCACTGGCCCTAGGGAGGACAGGGAGCTCCTAGGGGACTTCCTGGAGATGGGAGGGGGACTGCGAACTGCTGCCCTTCTCTTCCATTGTGGACAGCCACTGCCCAGCTTGACCTCTGGCTCAGGTCAGCTAAACTCAGGTAGGCAGTCATTCACGACCTTGGCTGCATTGTTAGAAGCATCTGGGAGACAGTAAAAAGCAACCCTGCCTGGGCCCCACTCCAGATCAATGAATCAAAACTTCTGGCAGGAGGTGGGAAGGTGGGGCAGAGCTGGCACTGTGGCATAGTAGGTTGAGCCTCCACCTGCGATGCCAGCATCCCATATGGGCACCAGTTCATGTCTGGGCTGCTCCACTTCTGATCCAGCTCCCTGCTGATGGCCTGGAAAAGCAGTGAGAGATGGCCCAAGTGCTTGGGCCTCTGTACCCCCCCATAGGAGACCTGGAAGACGCTACTGGCTTCGGATTGGTCCAGCTCCAGCTGTTGTGGCCATTTCGAGAGTGAACTAGCAGATGGGGAAACCTCTCTCTCCCACTCTGTAGCTCTGCCTCGTATTAAAACAAACAAACAAAAAAAACAACTAATGGGTTGGATATGGGCATTGTTTCTGTCCTTGTAAGCCATGTTACCATGCCAAGGAAACCACCAGGCAGATCAAGGGACAGGGCATCTCCCGCTCACCGCAGACTCCCTCTTGCCTTCCCCTAGTTAATGCCCCCTCCACAGGTAACCTCCAGTCTAATACTTGGCATCATAGGTCAGTTTTGAACTTCATGGAATCATACAGTATAAACTCTCCTTTGGCTCAACAATTGATTTGTGCTCTTCATTCATGTTGTAAGGTAGAGGTACTTCATTCTTGTTTGCATGACTGTAAATGAGGGTCTTTCAAAAAGCTGATGGAAAAAAGAAACTAAAGGTATTTATCCTGGGGGCCAGCACTGTGGCACAGCACATTAAAGCCCCAGCCTGCAACGCTGGCATCCCCTATGGGCACTGGTTCATGTCCCAGCTGCTCCTCTTCCAATCTGGCTCCCTGATGACATGCCTAGGAAAGCAGTGGAAGATGGCCCAAGTCTGTGGGCCCCTGCACACATGGTGGGAGACCAGAAAGAGGCTCCTGGCTCCTGATTATCCCAGCTGTGGGAGGGCCATTTGGGGAATGAACCAGCAGATGGAAGAACTCTCTGTCTCTCCCTCTCTTAACTCTGCATTTCAAATAAATAAAATAAATCTTTAAAAAATGTTTATTTTGGTATAAAAATTTTGGAAAATCCCATGCAGCTTTTCATAATATGCATTTCCATGCACTTTCTTTTTCTTTTTATTTGACAGGCAGAATTGGACAGTGAGAAAGAGATAGAGAGAAAGGTCTTCCTTCTGTTGGTTCACCCCACAAATGGTCGCTACGGCTGGTGCTGTGCCAATCCAAAGCCAGGAGCCAGGTGCTTCCTCCCAATCTCCCATTCGGGTGCAGGGCCCAAGCACCTGGGCCATCCTCCACTGCCCTCCCGGGCCACAGCAGAGAGCTGGACTGGAAGAGGAGCAACCAGGACTAGAACCCGGTGCCCATATGGGATGCTGGCGCCACAGGCCATGGCATTGGCCTCCATGCACTTTCAAAGCTCCCTTATGATCTACTGCATAAGTAGACCAAGGTTTATTTAGGATTCTTTATATGGAGTTTGCTGGCTCCCTTGAACCCCTCTAAAGTGGGATGACATGCTCTCATCATGAAATACAGCAAAGCAACGGCAGATGCCTGTCACGGGACATACGTGCTTACTGAAATGCAGATCCCCATTTTCTTAACCACTTAAAATTACTTTCTTTTTCACAGAAGGCATAAACGTGTATAAATTAAAATGTGTGACTCCAGTCCTGTGTGTAAATATATGCACGTGTGCACACCTCAAGGAAAACTCAAGCCAGACTAGTATAGAGATTTAGGGGTTGTAAGTTACAGGGCCTTGTCCAGTGCTACATTTGGATTTGGTTTTACTGGTTAACTGTGAGCATACCTTTGTTAAGTTAAATATATATATGAACCTTATTTCCACCTAAGTGCATCTTATTGTTGCGCTGGACACATCCGGTATTAATAAGGCAGTACCATTCAAACATTCATTTACCAAACCCACCAAGCCCAACTGTACTTCTTCAAGTCAATAAAAGTCATCTAGGCCGGCGCCGCGGCTCACTAGGCTAATCCTCTGCCTTGCGGTGCCGGCACACTGGGTTCTAGTCCCATTCGGGGCGCCGGATTCTGTCCCGGTTGCCCCTCTTCCAGGCCAGCTCTCTGCTGTGGCCAGGATGGAGGCCAGTGGAGGATGGCCCAAGTGCTTGGGCCCTGCACCCCATGGGAGACCAGGAGAAGCACCTGGCTCCTGCCTTCGGATCAGCGCGGTATGCCGGCCACAGTGCGCCAGCCACGGCAGCCATTGGAGGGTGAACCAATGGCAAAGGAAGACCTTTCTCTCTGTCTCTCTCTCTCACTGTCCACTCTGCCTGTCAAAAAAAAAAAAAAAAAAAAAAAAAAAATGTCGACAACTACTCCCCGACCACCGAGAGCCTTTGGAGATGACCGAGATCTACATTTTAATGTCAAACCTTGCCGGCCCTGCGCTCTCGGGTCACAAGTCCCCCAGTCAGATAGTTTGATCTACAACAAAAAGATGCAAAAGGCTTTCACACTCTTCCACAACTCCATGGCCAACCACCCCTGGTCTATGCAGTCATCATTTCTTGCCTGCAGTAAAGCAATCAATCGTCTCCTTACTTTCATACTCGGGTTCCACTGCCAACCTCTACCCACCCTTCTATCCCCCTCTCCCCAAATCTAGTCACCCATCAGTCAGAGTGACCTCTAAAAAACACACATCAGGCCATGTCACTGCTTTCCTTACACTCTCAACAGCTCATACCTAAGGTGCCTCACACTCATCACACTTGCCACTTACACTTAAACCTCAACTCCCTACCCTGACTGGCAAAACCTGTAATGAGGTCTGGTCTCTCTCGGAGCATCTCAGAGCATGTCCCTTCGTCCAGCCAGCTCTGGACTACCGCTGGCTGTCTCTGCTCTGAGAACCCTCCATGCTCCTTCTCACCTCTGCCCTACCTGCCTCACAGAAGTTTACCCTGCCCCTCCTTCAGTCTTTACATGGCCAGCTTCTTCTTCTGTTACTCAGATCTGAATCTCCACTGCCTCTGAGGGGCCTCCCCTGACCATCCAGTCTACAGTAGTTCTCCTACTCTCCAGAGCGTTAGACCATCTGAATTCTCTGCATGGTACTTATCACAAAGCACATTTTCTTAATCTATTTCAACCTCTGCCTCTAAAATTTAAGTTCTCTAAGAATCTTACTACACCTTCAGTGCCAGAAAAAGAGCCAATGCATAATAAGTACTAAATAAATATCCCTGCCTGACAAGAATCTGACAGCACAAATATAACGCGTACCCTTCCCCCAAGTCTAACGTTGAATTCTGGGTCAACCAGGAGGAAGGACACAGTGGTCCTTTGCAAATCACAGGACGAATGCAGCCCTGGAGGGGATTCTTGATTATACTGACCTGGTGTTTTTTTTTTAAAGTCTGCTATATGGTAGTGTAGCGTTTTATTTATTCTATCCATTAATTACTAATATTGAGAACACTTACAGCAGTAATTGAGCTTAATCTAAGAGAAGATCAACTTACATCTTTTTATATATCAATAACAAGTATTGGCGAGAGATAGTCAAAATAAGTATGGTCAAAATTACTATGTTAGGAACTTATGATGCACTTGCTTGGTGTGCATCTGTCCACACTCGGTTCAGTTTTTAGTGCAAGGTTCTTTGGCTGAAAGAAAGAACATTCGGTTTACTTCACTAATAGGAACATCTCTCAGTGCTGGGATGGCCTCTGCTTGGTATTTCTTCTGCTGCTGATTTTTAGCATAGTTATCTGTGAGAAAAGAACAAAAATCTTTGTTTACAAATGCAGCTTCTTTTCATCTCTGTGGCTGATAGAGACCCCCCCATATGGCTTACTTGGCTGATGTTTGGAGAATAACACTTCTGTTTAATATAATTAAATGATTATTTAATCCTCTCTTTAGAAGAAATGACCCAATTAAAATAACAACTTGGAAAGAAATTAGTATTTCTTTTAACTGTACAAGGATGATGAGCCTCAATTGCATGTTTCTCACAGGGACAGAATTATATCTAGATCTTAATAATGTATTTAAGTTGACATCACAAAACTATTGAATCATTTGGCACAAATATTCATGTAAACTTAACAATTTCCTTTTTGGATAAATTATCCATGTGGTTACTGTAAGTCAAGAACGCAGGAAATACATACAGTAGTTTATAAGGAAAGAATTTAAACATAAACTACTAATTGGTTTTCCAAAATATATTGTATTGGCTTATGAATAAAGGTTTTTGAAACTCGAAAAATCATACCAGTAACTTAAAAACTTTACTTCCTAGAATCTAAACAAGCTCACGTATCAGTCTACTTTAATAACTGGACTTGAACTGAAAAAAATGTTATAAAAAAAAGCCACAAAAATGTGCTATGGCTCTTCTCTGCAGTCAGCTGGGATCAGGTGCACATGTGACCCTCCTGAACAGGGTGTGCAGGGACCTGATGCTGTCCCTTGAATGACAGGGCCTGTGTAGGATAAAATATGCTTCTCTCAAAGTGGCTGAGAATAAAATTTGTAGGGGAAAATATATGTTAACTAGTGCTATAATTCATCACAATTTCTCTCTTCCATGAATAGAACTGGTGCAAGTTAATCAGAACTTATTTCCTTCATGCATTTCTTTTTTTTTTTTTAAGCTTTTTATTTATTTATTTGAAAGACAGAGTTCTGGTGACAGTGCTATGGCACAATGGGTAAAGCCTGCAGTGCCAGCATCCCATATGGGTGCTGGTTCGAGTCTCGGCTGCTCCACTTCTGATCCAGCCCCCTGTCGATGTGCCTGGCACAGCAAAGGAATGTGGCCCAAGTCCTTGGACCCCTGCACCCATGTGGGAGACCCAGAGAAGCTCCTGGCTTCAGACCAGCCAAGCTCTGACCATCACAGCTATTTGGGGAGTGACTTAGCAGATGGAAGATCTCTCTCTGTAACTCTGGCTTTCAAATAAATAACTAAATAAATACACCTTAAAAAAAAAAAAAGAAAGAAAAAAAGGAGTTTTACAGAGAGGGTGAGACACACAGAGATCTTCCACCTACTGATTCACACCCCAGATGGCCACAACAGTTGGAGCAGGGCAGGTCTGAAGCCAGGAGCTTCTTCTGTGTCTCCCACATGGGTGGCCAGGGTCCAAGGACTTGGGGCCATCTTCTGCTGCTTTCCCAGGCATATTAGCAGGGAGCTGGAGAAGTGGAGCAGCTAGAACTCAAACCAGAGCCCACATGGGATGCTGGCACCACAGGCGGTGGCTTAACCCATTATGTCACAAAACCAGCTCCAATATTTCCTTTTGTGCAACTCTACTTACTTCTCCTAGGTTCTTCTCATTGTCCCAATGTGTGTCTTGCAATCTTGGTTGCTTTTCTGGATAAAAGGGCAATACCCCACCTGTTCATTTCCCCAGCACTTTCCTTTCATATAAACTTACCTGTGATTGTATGAATGGAGTTGAGTGGAGAGGTACTCATCATGTTAATGCCAAACAAGAGTACATAACCAATGACTATGGTAATCAAGAGGTAGACAGGTAATGCAACTGCCCAGTATCTGCAGAAGAGAAGATTACAGTATGGAATGGGTACCTTAGAAAGTTGCAATTCTCAATAGCCAATCATAAAACATGTTATTTGAATTTTATTCAAGTAATACTTGCTCACGATAGACAATTCTTCAAGGCACATAATGAACAGCTGCAGTTTCCTATCCCACTTGTCCCATCCGGAGTCTTATTCCCCAGGAAGGGACACTTTCATTACCTGGGCTGTGGCTTCTGATACTTAACTTCCTAATTTCTACATAATGTGCTACTATTATTTCTTGGCTTCTTCTGTTTCATTTTCTCCAGATTTCCTAATATGACAATAGGGAATTTACTTCCTCCTATGTCTTCTGTACTTACAATTTCTGGTTAGGTCAGCTGTTGTTAAATATTATCATGACTATATAAACAACATTTACAACAGAGAATCTTAGCTTTATACATCTTATTTTTGGTTTTAGAGACAGTTTTTATTTGAAAGAGTTATTGACAGAAAGAGAGACAAAGATAGAGACAGCCATAAGGACAGATATAGTGAGAGGGATAGCAATAGAGATAGAGAGATCTTCCATCCACTGGTTCACTCCCCGACAGCCACAAGGCCACCGCTGGGCCTGGCTGAAGCTGGAAGCCCAGAACTCCTCCGGGTCTCCACAGGGGTGGAAGGGGACAAGCATTCGGGACATCTTTCACTGCCTTCCCAGGCACACAGGTGCCAGCTTAATCCCTGTGCCACACTGCCAGCCCACATTACACACTTTCTTTTTTCTGGAAGTAGTAATTACATCTTTTTGTCTGTTTGATTTTTCCATGCTTCTATCAATACTCAAGCTCAAATTCTCTGATAGGATTCCTACAGTTCCCAAACAGTTAAATACACTGAGTGTTCCATCTTGGCAAGTTTTACTGAGTACATTGTTTCATTAATAATTTTTTCCCTATGGTTTTCTCTTTCTGGAACTTTTTTTAAAAAAAAGGTTCATTTATTTGAAAGGCAGAGTTACAGAGATGCAGAGGCAGAGAGAGTGAGAGTGAGAGAGAAAGAGAGATTTTCCATCCAAAATTGGTTCACTCTCTAAATGGCCACAGTGGCCGGAGCTGGGCTGAGCTGAAGCTAGAAGCTAGAAGCTTCTTCCAGGTCTCCCACGTGGGTGCAGAGCCCACAAACTTGGACCATCTTCCACTGCTTTCCCAGGAGCATTAGCAGGGAGCTGGATCAAAAGTGGAACATTTAGGACTTGAACTGGCACCCATACGGGATGTGGGCACCGCAGGCGGCAGCTTTACCTGCTACGCCACAGCGCTGACCCCTGGAACTTTTTATTTATGTATTTATTTATTTGAGAGGGAGGGAGGGGTGAGGAGAGGGAGGGACAGAGAGGGAAGCAGGAAGAGAGAGAGAACACACCCTTTCATTGGTTCATTACTCAAATGCCTGCAATAGCCAGAACTGAAGCTGGGAACGGAATCCAAGTCTCCCATGAGGGTGGCAGGAATCCAGTTGTTTTAGCCATCACCACTGCCTCTGGGATCTGCATTAGCAGAAAGCAAGAATCATTCACTACAGCCAGGAACTGAACCCAGGTAACCTGATGCGGCACTGCAGGCACTTTAAGGGCCAGGCTAAATGTCTGCCCTATTTTCTGGGACTTTTAATGTACTTTATTATACTTTTCTCTGTTTTCCACTTTGTTGTTTATTGTCCAGCCTTTCAATTAAATATTTTAGTTTTGGAGTCCAGCATTGTGGTACAGCAGGTAAAGGTGCCACCTGTGACGTCAGCCTCCCATACAGGCCCCAATTTGTGTCCCAGTTGGTCCACTTCTGATCCAGCTCTGGCAATGGCCTGGCAAAAGCAGCAGAAGACAGCCCAAACGTCTGGGCCCCTACCACATGTGGGAGACCCAGACGAAACTCCTGGATCCCAGTTTCAGCCTGGCCCACCCCTGGCTTCTGTGGTAATCTGGGGAGTGAACCAGTGGATGGAAGCGCTCTCTCTCCCTCTCTTCCCCTGTTTCTGTAACTCTTTCAAATAAATAAATCGTAAAAAAATTTATTATCTTTATAATTTGCAAATACAGTAACTCCTTGAACATTTGTATAGTATTCTTGAACTCTGCATAGTATTCTGTTCATTCTGAAGTTATAATCTTAGGTCGGCACCGCAGCTCACTAGGCTAATCCTCTGCCTTCGGCGCCGGCACACCAGGTTCTAGTCCCAGTCAGGGCGTCGGATTCTGTCCCGGTTGCCCCTCTTCCAGGCCAGCTCTCTGCTGTGGCCAGGGAGTGCAGTGGAGGATGGCCCAAGTGCTTGGGCCCTGCATCCCACGGGAGACCAGGATAAGTACCTGGCTCCTGCCATCGGATCAGCGCGGTGCGCTGGCCGCGGCAGCCATTGGAGAGTGAACCAACGGCAAAGGAAGACCTTTCTCTCTGTCTCTCACTGTCCACTCTGCCTGTCAAAAGAAAAAAAAAAAAAAAGAAAAAAAAGAAAAAAGAAAAAAAATAAAAAAAAGAAAAAGAATGAAGTTACAATCTTCTCTGAGTATTTTACATTAAAAGCTTCTATATGGGGCCAGCACTCTGCCACAGTGGGTTAATGCCCTGGCATCCCTAATGGGCACTGGTTCAAGACCCAGCTGCTCCACTTCCCATCCAGCTCTCTGCTATGGCCTGGGATAGCAGAAGATGGCCCAAGTCCTTGAGCCCCTGCACTTGCATGGGAGACCCAGAAGCAGCTCCTGGCTTCAGATCGGCGCTGCTCCATCCGTTGTGGCCAACTGGGGAGTGAACCATCGGATGGAAGACCTCTCCCTCCAATGGCCGCCGCGGCCGGCGCGCTGCGGCCGGCGCACCGCGCTGATCCGATGGCAGGAGCCAGGAGCCAGGTGCTTTTCCTGGTCTCCCATGGGGTGCAGGGCCCAAGCACCTGGGCCATCCTCCACTGCACTCCCTGGCCACAGCAGAGAGCTGGCCTGGAAGAAGGGCAACCGGGACAGAATCCGGCGCCCCAACCGGGACTAGAACCTGGTGTGCCGGCGCCGCTAGGCGGAGGATTAGCCTAGTGAGCTGCGGCGCCGGCTCCAAATAAATAAATCTTTAAAAAAAAAGATCCAAAGCCAGGAGCTTCTTCAGAGTCTCTCACGCGCGTGCAGGGGCCCAAGCACTTGGGCCATCTTCTGCTTTCCCAGGCCACAGCAGAGAGCTGGATCGGAAGTGGAGCAGCCGGGTCTTGAACAGGTGCCCATATGGGATGCTGGCGCTTCAGGCCAGGGCGTTAACCCACTGCACCACAGTGCTGGCCCCTCCGTGTCTTTCAAGCTCTCCTTTTTTCTTCTGTATTTCTTGATATACTTTTCTCAACAACTGGGTAACTTACAGGCAGTCCATTCATATTTTAAAATGAAGAGCTGACAAGGTAACCGAAAGCACTGTGTGTACATGAGGAGATGACCAATTATCAGAGACCTTGCCCACTTCACTGGGGTCCGCCAAATGTCACAAATTAAAGATTTTTGTGTTTGGTGTTTGACTGGTCAGCATCCTAAGAAAGAATCTTCCCATCTTCTCTGTGATCTGGGAGGAGAAGGTGACAAGAGGTTGGACGCCTTGTGAGGGGAGGCGCTGAGGTGGGACTTCACCACTTGGTCATGCAGATTCTCACCAGTCCCATTTTCAGTGAGGTAACTTATGTCCACACAAAGCTCTAGAGACCCCCAGGCTAGAGACCCTCATTCAACTGTTCCAGGGAGAGAAAAGCTCCAGTTTTCTGCAGGGGATGGCAGGGTCTGAGCCCTAACTTTGAGGACTAAGGGAAGGAGATCTGACCTCTAATGTTCTTTTAACATGTTTTGAGTCCAACTCAAAATGACCGCATGAAAGAGGCATCTGGTTCCTTCAGTGTCTGAGCCATTCTGAAGTTCCCTACTTCAGCCACGTGGAAAAAGCAGAAACAAATTCAGTTACAGTTACCTATCTCAATCTGTTTTCCAAAATTTTGTTGACATCTCTTATCTACTATCTTAGCTTTTGGTCCTGTGGGACCTTAATTTTAAAAAAACAGGATCAGTTTAGCAAAAATTTGGGGAGGAAATGGAGATAAACATGTGTGTTTACCCTACCATCTTTAATTAGCAGTGTATCAATAATGATCTTTAAAAAGCTTCTAAAACCATTCATGCATTTAAAAATAATATGATCCTTCTGAACACCTTTGCTTATTCTCTTCTTTAAATAAACGTATTAAGGGATGGGCATTTCGCCTAGCAGTTAAGCCATGGATTAAACACCTGCATCCTCCGTTGGAGTACCTGGGTTCAGTGTCAGCTCTGGCTCCAGAATCAGCTTCCTGCTAATGCAGCAGGACCTGGGTCCCCACCACCACACAGGAGACTAATGCCCCAGGACCTGGGTCCCTACCACCACACGGGGGACTAATGCCCCAGGACCTGGGTCCCTACCACCACACGGGGGACTAATGCCCCAGGACCTGGGTCCCTACCACCACACAGGGGACTAATGCCCCAGGACCTGGGTCCCTACCACCACACGGGGGACTAATGCCTCAGGACCTGGGTCCCTACCACCACACAGGGGACTAATGCCTCAGGACCTGGGTCCCTACCACCACACGGGGGACTAATGCCCCAGGACCTGGGTCCGTACCACCATGCGGGAGGACTTGCATTGTGTTCCTTGCTCCACACTTGGCCTCACTCCCTCCCCCACTGCCCTGGCTGTTGCAAGCATCCGAGGAAGCTGTGTCTCTAAAGAATATTTAAATACATATTAAATATATCTATGTTTAAACATGTAATACCCCTACATATATTTTATACATGTAAATATATGTGCAAAATATGTTTTTCATATATATATATATGTTAGACTTACTTTTGAGGCCAATAGGTCAGGCCTAATGAGTTTAGCCAAGATTCAGGAATAAAAGCCCACACGAGATAAAGTACTGCAGAAGAGAGACAAAGAGGAGAAAAGTAAGGCATGCATCCAATCTCATAAGGTCAGATAAAATAAAAAGGTTCCCTTAAGGGGCCCTGATTCATTCAGAATAGCTTTTCGCTTCTTTCAATTCTTCTGGCTCCTTATCTGTACTTTTCTTCTAACATTCATCGTAATTACCTTATTACTAGTATTTTTAAAAACATTTCTGTAGCAGAGCAAAATTTCAAAACACCTACATCAATGATGACAGATTAATTTTCTTCTTGACAAATATGTATTACAGAACTCTGTCAGGAGTGTGAGATTCAATGGTGAAACCAAGGGGCCAGTGTTGTGGGTAGAGCTGCTGCCTGCAATGCCAGCATCCCCTATGGGCGTTGGTTTGAGTCCCAGCTGCTCTAATTCCGATCCAGCTCCCTGCTGATGCACCTGGGAGAGCAGTGGAAGATGGCTCAAGTGCCTGGGCCCCTGCACCCATGTAGGAGACCTGGAAGAAGCTCCTGGATTCAGCCTGGCCCAGCCCCACCCGTTGCAGCCATTTGGGGAGTGAACCAACAGACAGAAAACCTCTGTCTCTCAGTAACTCAACCCTTCAAATAAATAATTTTTTTTTTTTAAATAGTGAATCCGGCCGGCGCCGCGGCTCACTAGGCTAATCCTCTGCCTAGTGGCGCCGGCACACCGGGTTCTAGTCCCGGTCGGGGCGCCGGATTCTGTCCCGGTTGCCCCTCTTCCAGGCCAGCCCTCTGCTGTGGCCAGGGAGTGCAGTGGAGGATGGCCCAGGTGCTTGGGCCCTGTACCCCATGGGAGACCAGGAAAAGCACCTGGCTCCTGGCTCCTGCCATCGGATCAGCGCGGTGCGCGGGCTGCAGCGCGCTGGCCGCGGCGGCCATTGGAGGGTGAACCAACGGCAAAGGAAGACCTTTCTCTCTCTCTCTCTCTCTCTCACTGTCCACTCTGCCTGTCAAAAAAAAAAAAAAAAATAGTGAATCCAAAAGAAATAGCTTCTGCCCTCTCTGTACTCTCTAAAAGTGAACAGATATGTATATCAGTTATTTCCACTCCACTGGGACAAGGGCTAGTGCATCAAAAACAAAAGATGACACAGGAGCACATTAGTAGCACCTCCTCCCCCCTCCTTCCCCTTGCCAAATCTCTCCCCATAGCACATCTTAGCCTCTGACACTGGCTGTCTCCCCTTTCAAAATGAAAACTCCACTGGCCTCTAACAGGGCCAGACATACAGTAAGCACTCAATAAACACCTGAATTAATTTTTGGTTCTTCGTATTAGGGACTTAAGTCTAAAAATCACTGCTTTTCCTTATTTATTTTGGTTTATACTCTGAAATATTCTTTGACCAGGATTTACAAATACAGTAACAGCAGCAGCTAACACTTACTGCATGCATGTTGTCTCCAAGCACTGTTTGAAGTGCTTTACATACATTACCCCAGTTAATCCTTACACTAGCCGTGGAGGCAGTGGAGTGAAGTCAGCCCATGAGTCTGGGTTCAAATTCCCACTCTTTCATCTACTACCTTTGTGATCTTAAGTGAGGTACTCAAAGTCCAGTATTCTCACTTTTAATATGAGGCCAGCAACACTAGCACTTCCTCATAGGACTGTCCTATGCGTAATAAGCATTCAGTAACCATTCTCTCAAAGAATGGTAAACAGCCCAGGTCACACAGTGACTCTGTGGACTTCAAATTGGGACCTAGTTTTAAATTCTTCCCTCACAGGCTGGGCCACGAGGGCCATGTATGAGCTGTACTGATGGTGCAGGGAGGTGTTTTTCAGTAAGGGTTTAGAAAAACTACCATTCCCCTACCTTTCTGGTTCCCATAAAGTTGGATTGGGAACACCCAAGTTTCTCCCTCCTGCTTGCCTCCTAATTCCCAAATCCTCTTGGGGAGAGACTTGGGGCCTGCTGTGCCACTCTGAGCATGAGTGTCTCTGTGAGCACCAGTTTATTTGTAGGAGTGAAATGGAACATTCCGGGGATTAAGTGAAATCCAGGAGGTTAAAGACACATCGCCCAACCCCACACGGCTCCTCTAACTCTCTGCACTCCCCAGCTTCCGATGCCTGCCCGGAACATCACTTCCAAACCCTCTCAGGCCTCATTCCAGAACTCTCCATGTGCCCCACCCCCGGGGAAGGCTTGATTTCTGAGCCCCCGCTGTGCTCCCCGGCAGGCACCACGCCATTATTAATTTACTCCTCTGTCTCACCCCCAAGACCACGACCTTCTGGAGGGCAGGGGCCAGGTTCTATGCACTTTGTCACCTGTCTGTCGCTGCGTAAACACGTGCTGCGGTTAGACCTTTTAGGCCAGTGCTGGGACATGGAACATTCTGGACAAAGATGGCTTCCCTTCCGGATTTGTGGGAGAGACGCAAGCAGAAAGAAGCAACAGCTCCCGTCCGCGCATCCTAACAACAAATGCACGATTCCCTTGGCCATGCCTCAGGGCAGTACTTACTGAAGCCAAACTGGGAGCTTAAGAACAGAACAAAACCATAGATGGCTCTTTCTGGCAGTGGCGACGGTGAATTTTCCACCATTTTCCCTGCGGCTCTAGTCCATCTGTGGAAGAGGAACACAAGCGTCGTCAGGGATTTGCCGCCCCTCGCCACTGGCCTATTACAACCTCATCGCTCTGCTGCGGGCACGGCCTCTGCAGCGCACGGGAGCGGCCGCGCGCACCCCCGACGCGGCGGCACAGGGCTCGCGGGCTCGCGCGGCCCGCGGGCAGGCGGTGACCGGGCGAGGGCACGTCCGGCTCCGCAAGCTCGGCCCCAGGGACCCCCGCCCGCGCCCCGTCCCGGTTCTCAGTCGAAGCCCGGGCGCGGGCGGCCCTCGACCTGAGCTCCCTCAGACGCCCACCGGGGCTCCGGCGGCCACCTCGGCGGCCACCTCAACGCGGCGTCCTCTGCGCAAGCGCCGACCAGGAAGCCGCAGTCCCGGGTGGGGGGGCGACAGGAAAGAGGGAGGGAGAGAGCGAGGCAGCCCGGCTCGGCGCGGGGGCCGGCGGGAGCGGCCAGCTCGCGGCCGTGGGGAAGGGGCCGGCGCGGCGCCAGTGCGCACGCGCGCTGCCAGCCCACGTGACCGTGCTGCCGCCCGCGCCCGCCGCTCGCTGGCTCGCCCGCCCGCTCGCTCGCGCCCGCCGCCTGGCTGACGTGGAGTGCGGAGGCGGCGGAGGCGGCTGCGGGCTGCGGGCCCCGGTGAGTGCGGCGGGGCTCCCGGATGTGTCACCTTGTCCCGCTGCAGCCGAGATGCCCGGGGAGCGGGGCCCTCCACACCCCCTCCGTGGGTGTGTGGTGAGTGTGGCTGTGCGCGCGTGGCCGGGCGTGCGTCGCACGGGGGCCGGCTGAGGCAGTGTGCGTGGGTCGCGGTGCCCGCGCGGGAGGGGGTGTGGCCGCCTTTGTCTGCCCCGGTGGGTGTGTCCCGGGGTCTGGGGCCCTGGGTGTCCGTGCGAGGGTGGGGGCAGCCGGCTTCGGCCCGCGCGTGGGGGACCCCGAGGCCGCCTGGGGGTCTTTCTCCTGGGACGCGCGTCCCGCGGCGCGCGTGTTCGCGCCTGCTGCCGACGCGACCCCCGCCGGGAGCGCCGCCCGCGCGAGCGCGTCCCCGCGTGTGCGGCGCGCCGGGGGCCCGCGGGGTGCGTGACGTGCTGCGCGCGGGTGTGGGCTTGCGGGCGTGGGGGGGTCTAGGTTCTCGCAGGCGCAGTGCGGAGGGAAGGACCGGCCGCGGGGCTCGTGCCGCGTCCCGCAGACGCCCGCGCGCGGAATGCGGGGGCTGCGGACGCCAGCTCCTGCGGCTGCCCACTTCCTCCAAAGCCCGTGTCCGCGCCCGCTGGGCGGCCGCCTGTCAGCTGTCCCTGGCGTGGCCGGGAGCGCTTACGGGTTCCTAGAGTTGCGTTTTTGTTTTTGTGTTTTTTTTTTTTTAAATGGCGTTCACGTAAGTCTTGTTCGGAGCTGCCCAACATCTTGGCCAGGGAAATACGGTAGAGAGCAGTGTCCTTAGATAATGGCTCTAATTTGGGCTTTTTTCCCCCCCCATTCTTTTTGGCAAGAAATTTGCATTTCATGCTAAGGAAAATAGAGTTTATTTTAAGGGTGCGTAGGGAAGGAATCCGCAAGCCCATTAGGGACCGAATCTGTTGCTTACGGGTCTGCGCTTCACGCTTAAAGGCTGCGTTTTAGTGTCTGTTCCTCTCTGTTCTGCTCTATTTTTTTTAACTGTTGCCTAATTTTCCTTTTTCTGAAATATTTCAGAATATAGAGGGGGATCTAACCAATTCATGATATAGATTTTACAGATGTAATCATTTTACCAAATTTACTTCAGGTTCTCTTTAAAAAAAAAAAAAAGAAAGAAATACAATTGCAGATATTGGAGGTACTCAGCGCCTCCCCTTGATGCCCTGGGGATAGCCACTGCCTTCGGGTTTCTGTGTATCATTCCCTTGCGTATTTTACCCTTTGATCGTGGTACATCCATAAGCATTATATAGTATTGCTGCTTTTTAAATTTTAATGGGATGAAACTCTGTATTTTTGCTACTTTTTTTTCACTCAGCATTGCATTTTGACATTTTTATCTGAATAAATTGGTAATTGTGTTATTATCTGGTTCGTGCATTTTAATTGCTGGTGTAGAATTGCATTGTATGATATACAGTAATTTACAGTCATTTATGTATATCCCCTATTGATGGACTTTGAGGTTGTTTCCAGTGTGGGACTGTAAACAGCAGTCCTGCAGTAAATGTCTTTACCTGTTTGCTCTTGCACACGTTCAGAAGTTTCTCGGGGAGTGCAGGTAGTAGTTGGTCTGCCGGGATGTGTGACTTCAGCCTAACCAAGTGCTGCAGAAGCTCTCAGAGTGGTCGCACCAGTTTCCCCCTCACTGGTATTGCGTGAGGATAGTCCTTTGCTTACATCCTTGCTAATGCTTTATGTTACCAGACTCGGCGTTTTTGCTTTCTGTCTACTGACCAGCTTCCTTAGGACTTTAGCTTGCTACTGAATTTTCCTGCAGCCACTTGGGCTTCTGCCCCAGCCCTGTGTCAGTCTGTGGATAGTTGATTGGCTCAGTCTGTCTCTAGTATTAATACGGTTCTAATATTGATTCCAATAAACATTTATTGTGTACCTAATATATGTCAGTTCCTACAGATGTTGTGAAAGAATTTCCATATCATGGTTACTTTTCTAGTGGCAGGTGAGGTGATTTATTTAAAGGTGTTTGATATGGTAAATGTTTCTTGAAATTATTTAATGTAATATTTAACATTGAAAATATATTTAGCACATACTCAAGTGGTGAATCAAAACAATAAAATGAACCCTTGTGAATCTACCACCTAATCCAGTATTGAGTGTGCTTACTTCCAGAGGTGACTGCTCTCCTGAATTGTGTGTTATTCCTTGTTATTAACAATTTAATCAGAAATGTATATATTCTTTATCGATGTACTGTATGCTTTCTGTTGTTTTTGAGTAAAAAACCATACTGGGTATAATCTTGCTTGTTTCACTTAATGTTCTCTGTGAGTCATTAATAGTATAAATGTAAGTCATTAATCTTTCCCTGCTGTGTAATATTCCATGGGTGAATATAACACAGTGACTGCATTCTGTTGATGGAAATTTTGTGTTTTTCCTGGGTTTTGCTATTATAAAAATTATTGTACATATCTTCTGGTATACAATTGTGAGAAATGCTCTAATTTTCACACTGGGGAGTATGACCCACCCCAACCCCACCCCAGGAGTAATGAAAACCTCCTGAGTATGTGGGTACAGGTGATGTTCATGAATCAGTTTCTAGGTCATTGAGTTCTGTTTGTTCCTGTGCCTAAGACTGGTAATGCCTGAAGTCTATGGTAGATGCCTCCTGCAAGTTCAGCTTTCTCTGCTGCCCTCTCACAGTACCACATTATCACTTTACATACGAAAGGGAGACCACACCCCACGTGGAAGAATTCCCCAGGGAAAATAGGGATCCCACCTAGCCAGTGGTGGTAATCCGCACACCCCCTCTCACATCCACTTCCAAAGAAATGCATTTCCAGTGAAATTTCACTTCTTTATCAGCATAGTTCTTTTTAATCTATTGTGTGCTAATGATGATACACATGAAAGAGAAGGTGTAGCAGTTTTACTTTAAAATGTTGCCATGATACTGGAGAAATTCATCCATTTTATTTAAATTTAATGCTGAAAACTTCTTAGTTGTTATCTTTATGTGTAAAGAGTATGTGATTTTTAAAAGCATTTTTGAGTGGTTTTAGAGCAAAATAAAAAAGGTTAGAATACTACTGGGATATTCTGTTTGAAGTGTATTGCTGGTTGAAGAGCCTTGAATGTAAAGCCTTATAAAATAATGCCAAATTGTTTTCTGAAGTGATGATACCAGTTTTTCAGTATACATAATTTGTCAGTGTAAAAGTTATGGTTGACCTACAACCTGTCCAATGCTGTTGTTAGATATTTTTTTACTGTTCACCAGTGTAGTGAGTATGAAAGGATGCATCATTGTGTTTTTAATGTACATTTCTTTGATTATTAATGAGATTGAGCATTTTAAATATGTTTATGAACCATTTATGTCTCCTTTTAATGAAACATGCGCTCATATCTTTTACTCATTTTTAAAATTGGGTTGTCCTTTAAAACTGAATAAACTGGTAACTCTGAACCTTTGTTGATAAATTATAAATATCTTCATCCAGTTTGTGGCATGTCTTTTTACTCTTTATGTAGTTTTTATGTAGTTTTACTTTATTTACTTTTTATGTAGTTCGGAGAACAGTTCTTAATTTTAATGTAATCTAACTGAAAGCCTTCCTTTCCTGGGTTTATGAAGACATTCTCCTCTATTTCGTTTGAGTCTCAAATCCATCTGGAATTGGTTTTTGTGTGCGGTGTGAGGTAGTGATCCACACTGGCTTTTTCCCCTGTGTGGCTCCAGTTATCTCTGTCCCATGTGTTACTTGCCCCTTAGAGTACTGGTGCTCCACTCTATCATCTCTTTCATATGCATGATTTCTACACACATGGGTCAGTTTCCAGCTTGCCTTTCTGTATCACTTTTCATGTCTGTGTTGATACACACAATCCATTACTTATTAACACTGTACTTTTACCAGAAATCCTGATATCTGGAAAGGACTTGAATCTCAGCTGTTCTTGGATCCTTGTTGTTTTAAGAACCAACTTGTTAACATTATGTGATTCTTTGGGACTTAATTGGAATTCATAGAATCTGTTTCAAAGAGAATTGAAATCTTTAAGATTGCTAACCTTCCAATTTGAGAATATAGTATTTTCATTTATTTAGCTTGTCAGTGTTTTTTAAAAGTAGTTTTATAGTTTTCTTCCTAGACATCTTCCATTTGTTAAATGTTCATTTTGATGTTTTAAATAATTTTGTTACTATTATAGATGGTAGTGTTTTAAAAATTCTCCTTATCGTTAGTAAATAAAAATATTTTTAAAACATTGATCTTTAGTTATCCACTTGCTAGCTTTTAAAAATTATTTCTAATATATTCTTGGAAATTTCTTTGGGTTTTCTATTGGCTCTTTTCTTTCCTATCGTTTACCTTAAAAAAAAAGATTTATTTATTTGTTTGAAGGGCAGGGGGACAGAGAAGAACAGAGATGGGGAGAGAGAGAGGGTTCTTTTCCATCTGCTGGTTCATTCCCCAGATACCTACAACAGCTAGACAGGAACCAGGAACTCTAGCTTGTCTCCCATGTCGATTGGCAGGGGTCCAAGTCCTTGAGACTTCTGCTTTTCTAGGTGCAATACAGAAGTGGAGCAGTTAGGACTCTAGCTGGCACTGTGATGCGGGATGCTGGTGGCAGGAATGGCAATGCCCTTCCCTCAGTTCCCTTTATTGGCTGTGTTGTCTGATTTTGGTGTGGTTACACTGACTTTACACAGAGTGTACTTCCTCTTTTTCTGTTCCCTAGGAAAGTTTGCACTGGAATGATAAGTGTTTTGGATGGAACTTAGTGACCTGTCAGATAATTTTCTTCTTGCTAAATTTAGTGATAAATGGCAGTTAAAAGTAATGGACTAACAGTTTTTCTATTTTTTCTAGTCAGTTTTGGGGATTTATCCTTTCATCACAAAATTTTAACCTTATTGGCATCCAGTTCATGGTATTGTTTTAGTTACCTTTATTTTTTTTTAATATTTATTTATTTATTTATTTGAAAGGCAGATTTACAGAGAGACAGAGGCAGATACAAAGGGAGGTCTTCCATCTGCTGGTTCACTCCCCAGATGGCCAAAATGGCTGGAGCTAGGCTGAACTTAAGCCAGGAGCCAGGAGTTTCTTGAGGGTCTCCCATGTGGGTTCAGGGGCCCAAGCACTTGAGCCGTCTTCCACTGCTTTCCCAGGCCATTAGCAGGGAGCCATTTTGGAAGTAGAGCAGCTGGGACTTGAACCTGCAGTCCCATGGGATGCTGGTGCTGCAGGCGGCTTAACTGGCTGTCTCACAACGCTGGGCCCCAGTACTCACTATTATGAAAGCCTGCTGCCAGTTTTGTTCATACTTTTTTTTCTTTTTAAAGATTATTTATTTGAAAGGAAGAGTTACAGAGAGGCAGAGGCAGAGAGAGAGGTCTTGGATCCGCTGGTTTGCTCCCCAGATGGCCACAATGGGGTGGCAGGGCAGTCAGTAGTTGGACCATTATCTGCTGCCTTCCTGGTGCATTAGCAGGGAGCTGGATCAGAAGCAGAGGCAGAGGATGGACTGTATCGCAGGAACTCTGAAATAGGCTGCTGGCGTCCCAAGTGGCAGCTTAGCCCCCTGCACCACAACACCCTCCTCTGTTCATGTTTTCTTAAAGAAAATACTTTTTTCTTTAAGCTACATTGGATTTTCTATCTTTGGTGTTCTAGCATTACATTCCTAAGTCTGGTTGGAGATTACTTTTTATCTATACTATTTTGAGTATTTGTGTTTCCTAATTTTGAATTTTCTTTTGTAAGATCTAGAAGATTTTGAGCTCTGAATTATTTAAATATTTCTCTTTTCATTTATATATTCTCTCTGGAGCTTTAACTGGACTGGTTATATATATATACACACACATATATAATAAATAAATAAATAAATAATTTCCAGGTCACATACCATCCTTCACATTTTTCATTTCCTGTCTCCTCACTGGAATTTATAGTGCTGAGTAGTCTCATCAGGTATTACCTTACTGCTTACCAATTTTCTCTTCAGCTGTGCCTAATCTTCCCTTTAGCCCATTTTTTTTACTTGTAACAAATATGTTTTTCATTTTTGAAAGTTCCACTTGGTTCTTTTTCATATATACCCAGACATTCTTCATTGCCTCATGTTGCTTGCTCATTTTTGAGACTTATAACTATTCTGAAGACTCTGAGGCGCTCTCTATGTCTGGTATCCCTAGGAAGTCTTAAAATTTATTACTTTTGATACTTTTTGTTGTTGTTGTCTCTTCTTCATGGTGACTTGTTACCTCTTGTGCTTGGTCATCATTCATTATGAATTGCTATTTGGTTGATTTTTGTGAGAATCTTGAGACTCTAGGGTGGGGGTGCTTTTCTTTCTAAAGCATTTGTATCGACTTTGGCTGCCATTCAGAGGAGTTTAAATTAGTTCCCACATTGGCTTCTGGCTCAGTGTCCTGATTGCGCTTCTGCTTTTGGCACAATTGCTTGTAGCTCTGGACTGCCCGGTTTAATTCCTAGCTGATGTTTATTGCTTTTGGAGGCAGAGGGTGGCCTTAAGTGTTCCTGTATTTTTTGTGAGCTCAGCAAAACATCAAAAGTATTTTTTTAATTAGGGTCCAGGTTTTTTGTGGTAGTAGTGTCCCCAGAATATCCAATTCGCTGTAACTAATGTGGTTGTAAGTCCTTTATTTTGATATTTAATTTTGGCAATGTAGTAATTCTAGTTTGTGTTAGAAAAAATTCTCTTGTATTCAACATAGGATTTCTTGATGACAGATTTTTTTTGTTGTTGTTGAAACAAGTCTATGCCTAAGTTAAAAGTTATTTGAAAGGAAAATATTAACAGCACAGGTGTCAAATAAGTACATCAGAGTTAGACTCTAGATGACCTAACAGTGTAAAAACTGCTGTTGGAGACATGAGCAGGGTGCTCCAGGCTTCTAGAGAAGAGGTGCAAAAATAAACGTCACAGCTGGAAAGTCAGGAAATGCTTCCAGGAATTGAGTATTAAGGACTGGTTGGTAGTAGGTGGCTTTGGAGTAAGGTTTGTTTAGGAGTGACAGGCAGTTGGGAATGACTGGCTTCTTGGTTGTGTGTCATGGAATGACTAGAGATGAAAAGAAGGAAATGGATTCATAAGAGGCCTTCTGTGCTCATAGTACGGAGGTTGAACTTCATTCGAGGATGAAGGGGAGTTGTTGAATCATTTAAGCAGCTAATTTACTGAGTAAGATGATCCAAGTTCTAGAGGATGCCAAGATTAAAGGCCACCAGTTAGACTGCTTGTGCAGTTAGTTCAGAGGAGAATCGATGAAGGTAGGATGCAGGAGTGGCACAGGGCGCGAACAGGTGTGTGTGCCAGTTCTAGATCTCCCGGGGAAGTAGGAATGACAGGACTTAGCGGCCAGTTGGTTGCAAATGTTGGGGGAGACAGAAGAGCCTAGGTGACTCCTCTGGTTTGGGTAGCCAGGAGGCATATAGATCAATGAACCATTAAACCACATACAGAAAGAGGAAAGAACTTGGCTTCATTTGTTTTTGAGGAAAAAGATGTTTGTTTCTGAACTTACTGAACTTGAGGGGCTTGTGGGTCATCTTGGTTAAGATTCAGCGGCAGTTGATGGGAGAGGGTTTACAAGCCAAGAGGTGCAAGCCAAGAAGAGCTTCGGGAGTCTGCAACGCCTGGAAGCCCAGAAGCCGATGTTCCTACAGCGTAGTATGAGATCATTGGAGTGGTACATAGATAAACAATGGAAGTTTTTCATAGCTAGCAGTTTAATTTGTATGAAAACTGTAACCTGTGCAACAAACCTGTAATATTGTGGACATGATCACTTAGGCCAAGTGTGCTCACTTAAAGGGAAATATTAAGTAAAAACACATGTGATATGTGGGCAATGGCAAAATCTCCGTGGAGCTGTGCAAACAATGAAGGCTCAGAAAGTGCTGCTGTAAGCCATGGGTTGGTGTATATGGTCACCCAAGGAGAGAGTAAGAGTGGGAAGAAAAGAGAGTTGATGTATGGGTGGCGGGGAATGGAGAAGAGGAGGCCGTGAAGGAGACTGAGGAAGAGCAGCCAGACGAATAGGAGGAGAACCAGGAGAAGATGGTCTTTGGAGTCCAGATGAAGAGTTCTGAGGAGGAGGAAGTGGTCCACAGCGGCAAGTAAGTTGTAAGCTGAAAAGTGCTCTTTGGATTTAGCAATTAAGGTAGACCATATAGCTGGAATCATACCAACAGTGGATATTAACGATAACTGGTATTTACAGCATTCCTAAATGCCTGGTACTCTTGGAAGCACTTAACATATGTTAGCTGATTAGCCAGAGAGGAGTATTGTTACCTCATTTGATATGAGAGATCCAATACGTGAGATCTGCCGGAGACCACATACCCAGCAAATGGGAGAGCCAGGATTCAAGCCCAGGCAGTCTGGCTCCAGAGTCTCTGTCTTAACCATTTTGCCACAGTGCCTCTCTAGTTTAAAAAATAATAAAGAGAAGAAAAGAAAAACTACACCAATGTTGTAATTTCAGTACAATTGGTGCTGTGTGTGCTTATCATGACATCTGTCAGACTTGAATGCCAGTGTCATGTCTCTGGCTTAGTCTGCCAGGTATGCGCATGTTAAAATTGTACTGTAATTAACACCATGATGGTGGTATGTGGGCTGTGATAGTTCTTGGCTCTTTCTGTATTTACATACAAAAAATTTTTGTAAAACAAGTGAGTTTCAAATTGCATATATTTTCTGGGATAGCATATGTCCCATAATATGTGCCAAACTTTTGGTGCTATGAAGTGTTATTTTTTTCTGGTCAGTGTTCACTTTTGGAGTTAAACTTTGGAAATATTACTCACGTGGAACACATCAGGTTCCAGACGTTTTAGATAATCAATTGTAGAAGGTCAGGATGGCCCTTATTGAATGAAGGCAGTTTCTCTTGAGTGGTAGAAGAATCCAGATTGTACCAAACAAAGTGAATAAGAATGGAAAATCTGCATGGTAGAAAAAGAAAGAGTTCTGGACAAAGTTAAAAGATGGTTGTAGGAGGAGGCAGAGAAGTGTCAGATTTAGACCTCCACCGTGGTCTGAGGTGTGGCCCTGGGAAAGGAGAGCCTAGCAAGGTAGGCACTGAAGTTCATGTTTGTTGAAGAAGTAGTTAAATTGCAAGACAGGGGTATTATCTGCTTGGGCCGTGATGTGGCTGGGATGGTGATGGCATTTAGAGGAGAGGGACAAACACTACAAACTGTTTGCCTGTGTTCTTAAATATGACAGTAGCCAAGAGGTGAGTAGGTAGCAATGACAAGGAAAAGTAGATGGAGAAAGATACAGCACTTGAGAGAACAGACTCTAGAATCTAAGGGCCGGGTGTGAGTCCTTCCTAGCTTGACGACATTGAGAAAATTACTTAATTTTAACATTTTCTCATCTTTGCAGTGGAGATGGTGGTACTGAGCCTGCCAGGAACTGCTGTAATGGTTGTGAAAGGATGCACGTGAGCTCCTTGTCGCGGGGTGTGATACATGGTGCGCGTGGTTTGTTAGCAAGGTTGTTGTTCATGGTCGGTCGTGAGGTTTGCATTCAGTGAAGTATATGTAGTAAAGATTGATTTAAAAATAGATCTGTATTTCAAGGACTGATGGTGGTCTTGTTTAGGAAACAATAAATTTGGTTCATGTAAACAATAGTGGGATAATTGTGGTGAAACGAAAAGATGTAAGAAATGAAGATGATAGGAAAAAGAAAGCTGTTGCTTGGGCGAGAGTTTGAAGTAATGAAATGCTGTATTTTCTAGTGCTACTTAGGTTTTGTAGCTTCAGCTCTAAAAATCCTTACTACTGTGAACTTTCTTCAAGAAAAAGACCTTAGACTGAAACCCCAGCTCTGATTCTTCTTTTCCCTCATTGAAGTATTTGTAAACTGTGGCTTTCGAGACCGTGGGGCTCTGCACAAGAGCAGGGCTGCCTGTGCGGTGCAGCGGTGTGTCAGTGTTAGTGTTAGGAGAGAGCTTGTTGGAGGATGGAAGGTCTGGATGTGGCTGTGGGGAGACAGGAGATTGACAGGCTCGCCCTTACTGCTCTAGCCCTGCCCCTTTGCCCAGTACAGAAACTCACTGAGATGGAAGGCAGAACACGAGCTGCTGATAGGGAGTGATTTTCTCACTGGAGTCAGGATTTCAGACAGGAGGTTGAGAGTATAGCAGAGTTGTGTGTGAGGAAATAGCATTTGTCACAGAGTGCAATGAAAGCAGGTGGGGCCAGTGCAGCAGTGGGAAGATGTCTTTTCATTTAGCAAACTGATGTGCGGGCTCACCGTGTGCTAGGCAGTGTACAGAGATGCATTGGATGCTCTCATTGTCTTCCAGAGTGGAGATGGTGAATGTGTGAATCTAAGGAGAGGAAGAGATAAACCACTGGCAGAGAGTCAGGGTAATGAACAGTAGAACGGGGATGGGACTCTTCCAGAGCTCAGTGCTCTGACTGGAGTGATTTCCTGGGGCCGTAGGTTCCTGTCTTTTTCTAATGTACCTTAGTAGCCAGGAAGACTGCTGCTCATATGGCCTCAAGTGACTGAATTACTGACTTGGGTTTGTGTTGTTTCCTTAGGACCGTGCACCATGGACGATTTTGCAGAGGGAGATTTTGCTGTAGGGGAGTATGCCTTGTTAGGAGACTGCCCTTGTGAGGATGATACCCAAGAATTGATGACTGACGAGTATGTTCGTGTGACTCAGCTTTACTGTGATGGGGTGGTAAGTAGGTTTGTTAATATTTGTGTCTTAAAGGTTTTCTGGCTTACAGCTATCTGAGAGAAGATATTTTTGTGATTTGTGGGTTTTGACAGGGAGGTACACAAACTCAACAAGAATGTGTAATGCCACAGAACAAAATGTCATGGCAAAAGGTGGGTTCCTTACTGGGCATTAGAGAAGCTCTTGGGGAAAACTGCAAAAAAAAAAAGAGGGGCAGGTGTCATGGTTAAGCCACTGCTTGCAACACACTCATCCCATGTCATGTGCCTGGGTTCAAATCCTAGCTTCACTTTTTGGACAGGTAGAGTTATAGACAGCGAGAGAGAGAGAGAGAGAGAGAGAGAGAGAGAGAGAGAGAGAGAGAAAGGTCTTCCTTCCACTGGTTCACTCCCCAAATGCCCACAACGGCCGGTGATGCGCTAATGCAAAGCCAGGAGCCAGATGCTTCTCCTGGTCTCCCATGCGGGTGCAGAGCCCAAGCACTTGGGCCATCCTCCACTGCCCTCCCGGGCCACAGCAGAGAGCTGGACTGGAAGAGGAGCAACTGGGACTAGAACCCGGCGCCCATATGGAGGATTAGCCAAGTGAGTGACGGTGCTGGCCCCCCAGCTTCACTTCTTATTCATCTTCCTGCGGATGTTACCCTGAGAGGCAGCAGGTGATGACTCAAGGACTTGGGTCCCTGGCATCCATGTGGGAGACACAGGTGGAGCTCTGGGCTCCTGGCTTTGGCTTGGTTCAGCCCTGGCTGCAGACATTTGGAGAGTGAACCCGCTGGATAGAAGATCTTGCTCTTTCTATCTCTCTCCGTATCACTCTGCCTTTCAAATAAAGATAAATAACAGCAATAACAACAAAAGAATCAGAGGAGACCCCATGAGAAACGCCTTGAATTTAGACTCACTGAAGATGTGTTCAAAGTATGTAAGTAAATGTGTATTGAAAATTTTTGGTTTAGTTCTGATCATCTTTAGATCAAAAAATCAAGAACTGTGTTTTTGCATTTTACCAAATACAAATCAAAAGAATTTTCTTCTTTTTAGGGAAAGCAATATAAAGATTATGCCCAAAGTGAAAGAAATTTAGGTGAGTACATTGGTGTCTTAATGTTTATTTATTGGAAGACCTATCCATTCAGTTATATCAATATGTCAGATCTACATGTTTAATAAAAATTTATTCTTACTATGTTTTTCATACTGGAAACCCAAACCTTTCTTTGTTAAGATAGAGTTTTAGCCAACACTTAATTATTCTTAACATTTTATAGATAAGGCATTTTATCCATTTAGTCTTTTTGTCTTTCTGTATCCATTTTTACCTTTTCCCTGTTAAACAATGTTGATTCATTTTCAAATGAGGTACAAATACTAATCTTGAACTTTTTTCTTTTTATTAAGAATTTGACATCTGTAATATATGGTGTAGTAAACCCCTTTCTGTCCTACAAGACTACTGTGATGCCATTAAAGTATACCTCTTCTGGCCACTTCTGTTTCAACATCCACACAGTTCTGTTTTATCACGATTGCATCCCTGTATGGAGAACACGTAAGTTCCTGTATGTTACTCATTTTGTATGAACAGTATAAGCATGTTACCCAGTACTGAGAAATGCCAAGTATGCTAGAAATTTTTTGTCTCATTCTTTGCTTAAATTTGTTTAAAGAAATTGTTTATTTTCATCTTATTTGAAAGGCAGAAAAAAAGAGGGAGAGAGAAAGAGCGAGAGATCTTCCGTCTGCTGGCTCACTTCCCAAATGCCCATGATTCTTGGTACCAGGCCAGGCTGCAGCCAGGAGCCCAAAACTTTGGATCTCCCACCTGGTGGCAGGGATCTGCTGCCTCCCCTGGGCAAATATTAGCAGGAAGCTAGATCAGAAGCTGGGACTTACACCATGACTCTGATACGAGATACAGGTATCCCAGGCAGTGACTTAAAAATTGTGTCACATGCCTGTTCCCTCCCACCTTTAAAAAATTATTCATTTTTTATTTATTTGAGAACCACATAGAGAGAGCTCCCTCATCTGCTGGTTCATTTGCCAAATGTCTGCAGCAGCTGGGACTGGGCCAGGACTGCAGCTAGAAGCTGGAAACAAATCCTGGTCTCCCACACGGGTGTCAGGAACACGTTTATTTGAGCCATCACCACTGCCTCCCAGGGTTTGCATTGCTAGGAAGCTGGAATCAGGAGCCAGAGCCAGGAATCAAACCCAAGCGTGCTGATATGGGATATGGTAACTGCTAGGCCGAATGCCTGTCCTGGTGTCTCATTCTTGTATACTGTTGAACTTTACTTCTATTGAATAGGGTGGGAAAAAAGTACTTGAGATTTGTATAGGAATGGATAATCATAACATTATAATGAATGAAATTCTGTATTATGAGATGGTAGTTAGAATCTGAAGAAAAATTAATATGCTTGTTTATAAATATCAGTGTTGCAGTACAGGAGAGAGAAAAAGATAGAGAGAAAAGAGAAAAAGTGGTGTGTCAACTTAATAAATAGCTTACTAATGGTTACCTAGAGTGAAGAAAGATAGAATTTAATTTTTTTCAAATAGTTTTAAGTTGAAATTTATGGTTAAGCATAAAGATCAGTGAATTTGTGTATATGAGAGTCTATAAACTTTTAAACAAATGAATTTGTCTTTAAGCAATTCTTGTGCTTCTGAGATAAGTTTGAAGAAATTACAGCATCTTGAGCTGATGGAAGATATTGTGGATTTGGCAAAAAAAGTTGCGGTAAGTGGTAGAAAGGAGGTTCCCCCAACCCCGTTTAAAAGAATATAGATACTTATTTGTTTGTTTATTTTTCTTTTTTTAAATAATAGTCCCCTTCCCTGTAAAGGGTTGGGAGGATTCAGTGAGTTAGTCTTTTTTTTTTAAGATTCATTTATTTGAAAGGCAGAGTTACAGAGAGGCAGATAAGTGGGGGAAGAGGGGAGATTTCCATTCATTGGTTCACTCCCCAGAAGGCCACAATGGCTGGAGGTGAGCCAGTCCGAATCCAGGAGCCAGGAGCTTCTTCCAGGTCTCCCATGTGGGTGCAGGATCCCGAGGACTAAGGCCTTCTTCTACTGCTTTCCCAGGCCATAGCGGAGAGCTGGAACAGCTGGGACTTGAACCAGCACCCATATGGGATGCCAGCACTGCAGGCAGCAGCTTTACCCACTATGCTGCAGCGCCAGCCTCATAATATAGATATTTGTATTGTGTCAGACCCGTCCTGCCAGTTTATAGCAATAAACAGGTAGTGATTGTAGTTTTGGTTAACCTGGGATTATTCTGCTGTCCATGAGTGCATGCTTAGTATTGAAGAGATCAGGTAGGTAGATGGCTGCTGACGTGGTTCTGATACGCTCTGATGGGGACCAGGACATCTTTGTGTCATTAAAGGATAGGAATTGGAATTGGCTGCAGATGAAAGTGGGCCCTGGTTCACAGAAACCTTTGTCACAGGCCTGAAAGTCATAGGCTCTGTCTTTTGACATAAGCGCACCACTGCCGCCACCAAGTAGTTTCTCTCTGGGGTAGACTATATCAGAACAGGTTTGAGGAGCTGTTCTAGTGCTTGCGTGAAGAGGTTTTTTTTCCCTCTTGTTCTTGGTACTATTGACACTAGAATTTAAATTTAGAAAGGTATTCTGTCTGATGTCTATTTCCTGCTGATAATCCTTTGCAGTAGCTCACTAGCCAGTGGGGTTTGGTAGATGTCTAGGTATAATGAGCTTTAAAAATCTACACACATAAAAGTTACATGAAATCATTTTATCACCAGGTGCCCAGGGAAAACTTTCTCAGTTCTTGTTTTAAGGTTCTTAAGGGGTAAATTAGTCATGCAAGCGCTTCTGTACAGTGTACTGCTGTGTACGTGTAGTGGTATCGCGTGTTGCTTAATGATGGGATCCATTCTGAGGAGTGCATTGTTAGGTGATGTTGCTGTGCGACTGTCATAGGAGCGCTTATATAAACTTGCATGGGGCAGATCAGTTGCTTAATGCAGTGCAGATATGTGTGGCCGCTGCCAGTGTAACACAGCATACTCTCACAGGAAACTTTTTCCTGTAAAGTAATGGTAAGAAGTATAATGTAGTAAATACGTAGGCCAGTAACATAGTCATGTTGTTATCAAGTATTATGCAGTAGACACAAATACATGTAGTGTACTTTTTTAAAAAGGATTTTATTTATTATTTAGGAATTAAATAACAAATACAGACAGTGAAAGGGAGAGAGAGAGAGGTCTTCCATCCGCTGGTGCACTCCCTAGGTGGCCACAACGACTGGAGCTGTGCTGATCTGAAGGCAGGAGCTGGAGCTTCTTCCAGTCTCCCATGTAGGTTCAGGGGCCCAAGCACTTGAACTGTCTTCTACTGCTTTCCCAGGCCATAGCAGAGATCTGAATTGGAAGAGGAGCAGCCAGGACACACACTGGTGCCCATATGGGATGGCGGCACTGTAGGCAGATGATTAACCTACGGCGCCACAGCGCTGGCCCCCATGTAGTTTACTTTCATACAGCAGACAGTGTGGTAGGTTTGCTTACCAGCAGTAGTACCTCACATAGGAGTGGTATATTGTGCTGTGAGGTTAGGATGGCTCTGTTGTAGCTAGTTGATAGGAGTTTTTCATCTTCATTGTAATCTTAAGGGACAGCCATCTTTCATGTGGTGCATCATTGACTGAAAGCATTGTCATGCACTATATGATTGTATTCTTAAAATGCAGGATTTTTTCCATTAGAAAATTCATATGTAATTTACTGAATAAGGAAACATTTGTTTTTTATTTATTTTGCAGAATGATCCGTTCCTTATTGAAGGCTTATTGAGAATTGGTTATAAAATAGAAAATGTAAGTGTTAACGCTGGGAACCCAGTACACTCACTGTGATAAATGGCAGTCCTGTCACAGCTCATTTCCTGTGTATTGCGTTCACATGTACTATGTGATAGTGCTCATCTCTCTCTTTTACTTAATAATTTCCTCATTTTGGGAGTTTGCCTCATTTTCATTGTTTTGCCTGTGTATGTAGTGTAATTTTGAACCTTTATTATAAGTTGATTCCTTTTTCTCTTTTAGGATGTTTAACTGGCATATTTTATTCCAAATGAAATTACTAGGTCCCTAGTATGAATATTTTTTGATATGTGATTACTAGGTAATCTCCAGATATGATGAAAAATCTATTTATTTATTTGAGAGACAGAGAGTTCCCATCCACTAGTTCACTCCCCAAATGCCTGTAACAGCTGTGGCTGGACCAAGCCAAGTCTGTGAGTCAGGAATTCAGTCTAGTTCTTCCATATTGATGGCAGGAACCCAATTCATTGTAATATCACTTGCTGACATAAGGGATACAAATGTCCTAATTTAACCACTAGGTCAAATACCCAACCTGAAAAATAAATTTTTAATGCTTCTGGTGACTTGAACATCTATATGTATCCTTTAAGCCTGATGCATTGAAACCTCATTTGTCTAATTTCTGAAGTTAATTTCAGATCATGTAAGAATGAATAACGTTTCTGTGAAATCTTTTTTTTTTCCCTAAAGATTTTATTTATTTGAGAGGCAGAGTTACAAACAGAGAGAGGGAGAGAGAGACAGAGAAATCTTCCATCTGCTGGTTCACCCTTCCAACAGGTTGCAATGGCTGGAGCTTAGCTGATCAGGAGCCAGGAGGTTCCTCCAGATCTCCCACATGGGTGCAGGGACACAACCACCTGAGCCATCCACTCCTGCCCCTGCCTGCCACCGACCCAGGCCATAGCAGAGAGCTGGATCGGAAGAGGAACAGCCAGGACAGGAACTGGTGCCCATATGGGATGCCGGTGCTGCAGGAGGAGGCTCAGCCCAATACGTCACAGCACTGTCCCCTCTTTTATTTTATTTTTTTAAGATTTTATTTATTTATTTGAAAGGTAGACTTACGGAGAGAGAGAAAGACAGAGAAAAAGGTCTTCCATCCGCTAGTTAACTCCCCAAATGGCCGTAACGGCTGGAACTGAGCTGATCTATCCAGAAGCTGGGAGCTTCTTCCTGGTCTCCACACAGGTGAAGGGGCCCAAGTACTTGGGCCATCCTCTGCTTTCCCAGCCCATAGCAGAGAGCTGGATTGGAAGAGGAATAGTCAGGGCTCAAAGTGGTGCCCTTATGGGATGCCAGCACCTCAGGCGAAAGCTTAGCCCATTACACCACAGCGTGGGTCCCTTCTTTGAATTCTTGACCCTCTGTGAAGATTGTTGCACAAAATACCAATCGCCCAGCCACTCCCTCCTCTACTGTTTGTCTTGTTCTTCTGTTTGCCATAGACCCTATAAAATACATAATCCCTTTGGTGAACCTTAATCTCCTTGGAGATGGTGGTCCTAGTTTAGATGTGATTCGAGAACCCTTCCACCTTGCATTAGTGTACTCTCCTGCTACTTAGGACAGATGGCCTCTAACCACGTCGGAGACCTCAACTTCCAGATCTGTAATAATGTGGAAGCATTATTTTTATTTTTATTTATTTATGTATTTTTGACAGGCACAATTGACAGTGAGAGAGGGACAGAGAGAAAGGTCTTCCTTTGCCATTGGTTCACCCTCCAATGGCTGCTGTGGCTGGCGCGGTGCGCTGATGATCCGAAGCCAGGAGCCAGGTGCTTCTCCTGGTCTCCCATGCGGGTGCAGGGCCCAAGGACTTGGGCCATCCTCCACTGCACTCCCTGGCCACAGCAGAGAGCTGGCCTGGAAGAAGGGCAACCGGGACAGAATCCGGCCCCGATAGGGACTAGACCGGGACTAGAACCCGGTGTGCCGGCGCCACAGGCGGAGGATTAGCCTATTGAGCCATGGCGCCGGCCAGCATCCTGAGTTCTGAATGTGGCCTGCGGTAACCTGAGTCCACAGACTCTCTAAACTTGTATTGAAGTCCAGCTACTCTAGGTTGTGTGCTGAGTAATGCAAACAGGTGTCGTACAAGATGTACATTAACGTTCTGAAATGCTGTGTAAGTTTCTAATACCACATACACCCAAATCTTACTCTTCATTCCTCATTTTGAAACAGAAAATCTTGGCAATGGAAGAAGCTATAAATTGGATAAAATATACAGGCGATGTAACAATTCTACCTAAATTAGGATCCATTGACAATTGTTGGCCTATGTTAAGTGTTTTCTTTACTGAATGTAAGTATAAGTGCTTTAAGTTGTTACTTAATATTTAAATATTAATATTAAATATTTAAAAAATATTATTTGACAAAATGGGATGTATAGTTAATATGGTTTAGAATTTTAAAAAAGTTTTTCTTTTGTTAGAATGCCAGTTAAGAAAACACTGCCTTGTGTTTGGTTTTATTATGTATTTCCAGTCTTAATGATTTTTATGATTTTACACTTTTTGAAATCCTCTCTAATCAGTATGCTAAGTTGTTTAAAGAAAGAGACCACAACTTGTGTTCCTGCGTTCTCATTCATAAGCAGGAGTAACAGAAACTATGATTTGTATTTCCTGGGTGAATCTGCTGATCTTTTTATGTATGAAGAAACTGCCTTATGTATTTCCTTTGTAAATACTTTTCTTTAAAGCATTTGAATTTTAAATATTTATTTACTTTTTTCTTTTAAATACTTATTTACTTATTTTAAATATTTTACTATTTTAAATATTTATTTACTTATTTATTTCAAAGGCAGGATAAGAGAGGTAAAGAGAGAGTTTACACACCATATGGTTGCAACAGCTGGGGCTAAACAAGGAGCCTTCCTGGGCATCAGGGACTAAGCACTTGGGGGCCATCATCTGCTGCTTCTTAGGCACATTACCAGGGAGCTGGATCTGAAGCTGAGCAGCTGGAGCTGGCACTCTGATGTGGGATTTAGGCATTCCAGATTGTGGCTTTCCCTGCGCCTAACATGTGCTCCTGAATGTTAGCCAATTTTTTTTCTTTTACAACACACACACACACACACACACACACACATATGAAAGGCAGACTACAGAGAGGCAGAGGCAGAAAGAGAGAGGTCTTCCATCTGCTGGTTCATTCCCCAAATGGCTACAATGGCCAGAGCTGGTCTGATCCGAAGCCAGGAGCCAAGAGCTTCTTTTGGGTCTGCCACTCAGGTGCAGGGACCCAAAGACTTGGGCCGCCTTCGACTGCTTTCCCAGGCCATAGCAGAGAGCGGGATTGGAAGTGGAGCAGCTGAGACTTGAACCAGCACCCATATGGGATGCCAGCATGCAGGCAGCGGGTGGCTGGCTTTACCTGCCACACCACAGTGCTGGACTCTTTTCTTGAGTCTTAATTTCTTGAATCTTTAATTTTCCTTTCATCTTGAAAATGACTGTATTTGGCTAGAGGCTTAACTATAGTTTTGTTGCACAATTTTTTTTAACCACTTCTTATGCTTATGTATCAGCTTAAAATGCAGAAGATGGGGCCTGATAAACTTTTGTTGGGAAGTTTTGTTACCTACTGTGTTTTAAATGCTTCCTTAATATTTTATAAGAATGATGTTTCAAATAACTTCTCATTGTAAAATGCAGAAGATGGGGCCTGATAAACTTTTGTTGGGAAGTTTTGTTACCTACTGTGTTTTAAATACTTCCTTAATATTTTATAAGAATGATGTTTCAAATAACTTCTCATTGTAACATTTCATTCAAGAAAGAAAAAATATTGCATAAAGGGGTTTTATCTTCTTCAGTTCTATAAAATACATACTGAGTTTTTGTTTGAACATTGTCTCATATGCCATAGGTACTTGATATTTGTTGAATTGACTTGAGCAATTGTGAGGCCTGTTTAGGTTATGTTACAACAGAACAGAAGCTATGATTATAACTAATATTAAAATAAACAGGGGCCGGCACTGTGGCGTAGAGAAGTTAAACCGCCACCTGCAATGCCGGCATTACATATGGGTACTGGTTTGAGACCTGGCTGCTCCACTTCTGATCCAGCTCACTGCTATGGCCTGGGAAAACAGTAGAAGATGGCCCAAGTCCTTGGGCCCCTACACCCGTGTGGGAGACCTGGAAGAAGCTCCTGGCTCCTGGCTTCAAATTGACACAGCTCCGGCCATTGCGGCCAATTGGAGAGTGAACCAACGGATGGAAGACCTCTCTCTCTCTGCCTCTCCTTCTCTTTCTGTGTAACTCTGACTTTCAAATAAATAAATCTTTTAAAAAAAAAGTGTTTTGCGGGGGGGGAGTGATGTGGAAGCATTTTTTTTTTTTTTTTTTTTTTTTACAGGCAGAGTGGACAGAGAGACAGAGAGAAAGGTCTTCCTTTGCCGTTGGTTCACCCTCCAATGGCCGCCACGGCTGGTGCACTGCGGCCGGCGCACCGCGCTGATCTGAAGCCAGGAGCCAGGTGCTTCTCCTGGTCTCCCATGCGGGTGCAGGGCCCAAGGACTTGGGCCATCCTCCACTGCACTCCCGGGCCACAGCAGAGAGCTGGCCTGAAAGAGGAGCAACCAGGACAGAATCCGGCGCCCCGACAGGGACTAGACCAGGACTAGAACCTGGTGTGCCGGCGCCGCTAGGCAGAGGATTAGCTTATTGAGCTGCGGTGCTGGCGACAAGTGTTTCTTAATTGCTAGATAAAAAACTGATTAGAATCACAACAAACAATCCATTTGCTGTTTTCTATTAACATGTTGTTAATTTTGTAAAAAAGATACATTATTTAATACACGCAAGAGAGTACAAGAAACGGGCCAATTAGGAGGTAAAAAATACAGTGAGCTTCATGGACTCAGCTGCTTAACCTAAGAATTAAAATATTTCCAAAACCAATTTATGGGTTTCTTTTTAACATATGTTCTTTCTCACTCTCTCCTAAAAATAAAATGTAGACAAATATCACATAACTAAAGTTGTAACAGAAAACTGCAATTTGCTTGAAGAATTTAAAACCCGAAATTGTGCGGACTGCATAGAGGTGAGGATAAATATTTACTTATAAATATGCTTTAATATTTTCCCATTAGAACTTTTAAGTTAGAAGAAGTAATAAAGCTGTAATAATACAAGGAACAATTGTATTCAGTTGTACAATTGAATAACATGAGAGAAACTTTTGAAAGTTTTAGTAGAAATTTTCTTTTTAAAGAAGAAATAATATCTTCATCAGATTTTTCTGTTGATTTTAAAGCAGTTCGTCAACTGAAGGCTTGTAGTTAGTTTGGGAAATATAATTTCCTATAGAAACAGTTTATTCACATGTATTCATAGGCCAAGCAGTGCATTGGTAGGAAATATGATTTTAACTCAATGTTTAGAAAATGATTTAGGAAAGTATTTAGTGTTCTTTTGGATTCTCTGACTAAAGCCAGTATATGGTCTATTATATTTTAATTATTTATTTTTTAAAAACCTTGAATGTTTGAAAAGTTTGTTATATCTGTAGCATCTTTCATATATTCTTGCCACCTGATTTTCATGCAGTTAATCTGATCAACATTTCCTGTATGTTATTGGTTCAGATACATATATGCATTTGAAATTTTATTTATTTTTGTTTAAAAGGAAGAGAAAGAGGTAGCTCTTCCATCTCTTGATCACTTCCTAAATGGCTGCAATAGGGCCAGACCAGCCTGAAGCCAGGAGCCTGAAACTCCGTGTGAATCTCCCATATGAGTGGCAGGGGCCCAAACACTTGGGCCATTACCTGCTGCGTCCCAGGGTCTGCCCTAGCAGGAAGCCAGAATCAGAAACAGCTGGGACTTGAATTGAGGCGCTCCAACATGGGATGTGGATATCCCAAGCGGTGTCTTAACTGCTATGCCGAATGCATGTCCTGATTTACTGATTTTTTTTTTAAACACTACAGTTTCTTGAATAATATAACGTTTGCTAACCTAATCTACTCGTTACATGTTATTTTAGTCTGCCATACCTACTGATAAAAGTACATTTAAAAGCAGACCTGCCAAATACTTCACAAAAGAGAAAAAATGTTTAGTAATTATTCAGAATGCATCTGTTAGCCTTTTGAGATCAAGTGTAGTAATTATTCAGAATGTGATGATTTTGTTTTCTTTTTAGTATTCCTTTAACAGAGTTAGTGTTGAGGCACTAGAGACAGGTTTCTATATATACCAAAATACTGGATATTGCATTCTCATTTTTACATAAATAATCCTGTTGGTTATTTATGATATCAAAGATAGAGAGCCAGATCCATTTTTCTCTGGGTTTTGGGTTCTTGTCTTTGAAACTAATTGATGGGTCATCTTCTACCTTGGTTTCTCAGCAAGGAGAACTAATGAAACTGAGAGGAAATGAAGAGTTTTCCAAGGGACGATTTGATATAGCTATTATCTATTACACCAGAGCCATTGAATATAGGTAAGAGCAAAACAAAAGGAGGGGTTCTTTTTTAGTGTGGCCAATAAATTTAGAAGGTTAGGAGAAATAAAACCAAGATGAGGAACTGAGAGCATCTTCCAGTTTTCTATGCAGATTAGTTGTTCTCGTCGTTAGGCGTTAGATGCGTTAAAGGTGTTCTGAAAAATACTGATCAGTAATGTAATTCAGGAAAGTTGGGCGGATGGTGGATTTGCTTCCTCTGTACTATCTTCTTTCCAGCTTTCTAATACAGAGTCCTGCCTTGTTCTTATTTTGCTATCAGCTAATTCCTTTCAAGTTGTTAGGGTTTCTAAGACTTCGGGCATCACCCAATCAGGAGTTTTGCTTTCTGTGAAGGAACTTTTAGTTTATATCATTTGATCCTCACAATAACTCTCTGAGCTAGACATAGCGAATAGAATTTTCTTTATTTTTAATACAGTGTAGCTTAGGTTGGTTTGAAGCGAGTTAGGAAGTAAAAGAACTGAGACTTAGCCAGTTTAAGACTCCCAGATCCTTTATTTTTTCTACTCTGCCATACATACAGATGAGAAGTTTTATGAAGATTTTCCATGCCATGTGTTTTCCATGTGAGTTTTGATTATTTCAGATATAATATGCTTTACTGACTAAATATTATTTCTTTTTAAGACCTGAAAACCATCTTCTGTATGGTAACCGAGCTCTTTGTTTTCTTCGTACTGGACAGTTTAGGTAAGTTGGGGAAGTATCCCCATCTATCAGTTACGTTAAATACCCATTTGGGGGAAGCATTTCAGTTTTACTGGGATGCACGAAAATCCTTGACTAGTTCTTTGGCAGAGATATGTGGTTAAAATAGGTGCGCTGTAGGCTTTGTATAATAACAGAGGCAGCTATTCTGATTCAGTACAAATGTGTGTGTGTTTTTAAGTGCTTTATATATATCAAGCAACCCTTAAATAGGTTGGTAATATTACTTTCCACATCTTATGTGTGGATCAACTCACACAACTTGTAAGTGGTGGTGGTACCATGAATTGAGCCCAGATCTTGCCTGGTGATGTCAAATTCTGTGTGTGTTATCATCTTGTGCCCTTTTAATTAATCTGTATAGTTCTTGAGAAGCATTTTTGCTGTAATTTTCCCTCTATTTGTTTTGGTATGAAAAAAACTACATAAAATGTCCTTCCTAAATGAAAGAAAGGTTATAGATTTAATGGTATAACTATGAGGGTGGAATCATAATTTTCATTTCCTTATGTTAAATTTGAGCTGAGTTTTTATTTATTAGCTGAGAATTGACAAAGATGTTGCACCTTGATGCTATTGCCCTTCAGTTAAAAAAAATTTAGGATTTACATTGTGAGCGTTAATGTTAAGCCATGTAGACTGTTGTATTTAATTACATCCTGCCTTAAGAGAAGAAGGAATTAGGATGGGTGCAAGAACACATTTGCACAGTAGAAATACTCAGAACACAGCAGATTAGAAATCAAGTTGAGGCTGCGATGCTCAGGACTGATCTTTGTGGGCATGGATCTGGCATCAGTGCTGGTTACAAGGCACTCTTGCTTCTGACCTTCTGTGCCCAAAATGAAAAGGGAAACTTTGATAAGTCACACAGTTCTCACTGTCCATAAAGAATCAGGATACCTGTTGCTTGGATGAAAATGTTTTCCTGGTGTTCCGTACTTAGAGTAATTTCTTATGTGGCTTAATTTTAAGTGATGAAGTAGAGAAAAATCTGAGTAACATTCCTATTCATAGCAAAAAAAAAATATTCTTTGAAAGTACAGTTTGGGGTTTCATATACAAGTTTTTATATGACTTTTTCCTATCAATTGAGTCTGTTACCAGTTGTTTTCCAGTGAAAGCATTTATTTTGGCATGTGGGATTGGGGGTGGGGAAGGTAGTATATTACAAGTATGTAGCTTTCAAAAATAACATTTATTGTGTTTTTCTTTTATTATAAACAGAAAACATTCTCATGGTAGAAAATTTGGAAAATACAAGAGTTTAAAAAGAAGAAAATAAAAATCACCAGTAATCCAACCACCTTGGAGAATACCGCTGTATTAAAGTTATGCAGCTTTTACATGGCTTAAGCCGTGGATAAACCGAGGCTATCTAGACTAGAGGAATGGATGGGCTTGACACAGTCTTCCATCAATGCCACTGTCCTCAACTGGTTCTGACAAGAAATGAGCTGCAAATGTCTTTAGGTTATTGCCTCTGGCTAGGTCCAGAATTGCAGATACTCAATGCTGTTAAAGGTGAATTCACATGCTTTCAAGATCAGATTAATAGTTTTGCAACTTGGCTAGCATCCTGTGAAAACTGAGGTGCTGATCTGAAACTACCTGGCAAGAGGTCATCCACTCTCTCGCTCCAGGAGCTGAGAGACAGACCAGGTGTTTCTGTTTTCAAAATTTTTTGAGTATTGAATGCTGGATACACGAGCAAGATCCCTAAAATCCTATCCTAGGGTCCTAAAACCCTACTTCCACAGGAAGTTACTCAAACTAGAAATATAGACACCAGGCAGTTTGATGAGTGAAAGGCCAGGAGCAGGGTGGTGAATCCATCTTGTACTTCCTGACAGTCTGGCTTGTGGTGCAACACGATGTGCGCGTACATTCCAGGTTGTCAGCAGTACTAAGCCCTCATTCCTTGTTAGGCAGTCACCAGTAAGTAGTGGATGCCTGTCTAATGTAGGAAGCTTTATGCCACACCAGTGTGTCTGTGATTTGCTAAGCAATGTAGCTGTAATGTTTGAGTCCATCATATATGTAACTCCTGACCAGGCGACCAGATGATGATACTTAGAACATGTTGCCAGTAGTTGAGATGTGCCACTGGCGCAGGAGGATCTGTGCTATGAGAAGGGCTTGTAGCTGAGTTACCGAGGTTGAGATATTTTGAATCTGAGCAGCTGTGAGGACAGCTAGGGGTAGAGCGTCCAGCCTCTTCCCACTGGGGCAAGGATGTACTCTGCAGCTGTTCCACAGGACCAGGCTTCCTGTCTGCTGCTGTGAAGCCAAGGATTGAGATGCCCAAAGAGAACAGAAGTGGAACATCTTAAATTAAGACTAGGAAAGATAAATAAAAGGATTAAAGTCATGAATGCTAAGACTTCCGAAATAGTTTGATCCTAACATATTAGAAAATAAAAACTGGAATCTTAAGAAAAGATTGAATGTTGACCAGATTAATATCTAAAAGGGTAAAATAATGCTACTCCACATGACAGCGCGACTATACTGGTCTGTGTACTTCATGTGTACCACTTGTAGAACCCTGCTGCCTCTTTTCAGATGAGGCATAGGGAGGCCAGCAAAGTGTTCCCAGACACTAGGTGGATGTGATGGAGCCAGACTTGAGCCCAGGAGGCCTCGATGCAGAGTCTCTGCTGCTAGTCACTATGAGAAGTGATGGTAGAGTAAAAGAATATGGAAGTTGAAAAATTTAAGAAGTAAATGGTCCAAATAAGCATTTATGAGGAAATTACTATCTTTACATGACATGCAGATTAAAAACCGTGAGTTTCTCTTTCATACCCATCAGATTGGCAAAAATTAAAAACCTCGTAATACCAAGTGTTTGAGAGGATGTGGAACAAAGGAAACTTTGATACTCGGCTGGAGAAAATGTAAATTGGTACAGTCACTTTGGAGAGAATTTGACAAGGTGAAGATGTGCATACCCTGCAGCCCACCTCTAGGCTCGTCCCCTCCAAACTCTCACATGTGTACCCACGAAGATATGTACAAGTCTTCATTGTAGCACTGTTTGTAAGAGTAAAGAAATGGAAACAACCTAAGTGTCCATCAGTAGGGGAATGGATAAATGAATGATGGTATATTCATACAATGGACTTGTATACAGCAGTTAAAATGAATGCAATGTTGAGTGAAAAAACAAGTTGCAGAATGATTTGTGTGGTATGCTGTTTATATGATGTTTAAAAACATGCAAAATGTGCATATCCATCATTAATACAGAGTGTATATTAAAAATGTTTTAAAATGCATGGGCATGTTACACAGGAGGGGAGTGGCTGTCTGGAGAGAGAAGGGGAACGGTGTGGAGATGGGAGGGCTGATGCACAGTGGGTATCAACTGTAAAAAATTTCTGCAAAAGGAGCTGAAGTAAATATGGTAAAATGTTTATTTCTTGCTAAGTTGGTACACAGTGTTGATTATGTTAATGTTGATTGTACTGTTATGTATGCTTGAAATATTTGATAAAAAGTAAAGAGTGCAATAAACATGTACGTAACAGTGATCAGTAAACATCAAGGAAAAAATAAGTATGAAATAATTGTGAAAGGAGAGCAGTACGACTGTTTGCAGGCCAGCGGCAGAGGGTAGGAAGCCTGGAGTGAAGTGTATGTGGAGGCACAAATGCTTCATTCAGAAATGGCCGCGGTGGCTGCTGTGGCAGTCAGACAGTTGGTGAATTGGCCCACCTGTGAGTGGATACAGGGGAGGCCGAGAGCTGATCAGAATACCTCGTGGTCTGTGGGTGTTGTGCTCGGGAACACGGTAGAGATGGGGTTGAAATGAGGGAGGGTTGGGGGGAGCTTCACTGCCTCCTGCCCCCTCAGGTGCACGCAGGGCCACTTTCTCCCCTGTGAGTCCTTCAGGCTGAGGAATGTGAGCAGTGTATGCTGGGATGCCTGGCATGGATGAGATGTCCCTTTTATGTTGGTCTTCTGGAAGTGAACTTTTCAAGTATACTTTGGTAACTCTTGGGCATTTTAAGAATGAGTACATTTTCAGCCCTGAGAAGGAACTAGGAGAAATGGAACTGGATGTACCCATGGCTGCCGTGGTTCTGCAGCACCTCATGCTATTTGTGTGCTGTGGGCTTATTCAGCCCACAGTGTAAGCTGCTCTTGCAGGACTGGCATGAAAAGTTTTAAGTTCCTCATTGGAGTGTTCTGAACTGGTAAAGAGGAAATATGATTGGACAGCGGGAGAGCTTAGCCTTGAATGTTTTTGAGTTTACTATGGAAAATTACGAAGTTTTTCAACTGGTTATTTACTTGAACTTTTGGCATTTATTTGTTAACTCATCCTATTGTATTCTCTTTCAGTAGATCCCAAATGTGATTAGTACCAGACTTAATAACTTAATAAGAAAACTTAAATAACCCTTGCTCCCCCCCCCCCCCCCGAATTTCTCTGAGACCAGAGGCATAAAGCAACTCAACTGTGTGTGTGAGAATTTAAAAATTCTGTGCGTCTGGGGAACCTTAGTTTGAGTATATTGGTCAGTGAATTACTTACTCTGCTCTGTCAGCTTATGTAGTCTCTATTTGAACATAGACGCTCCTAATTTGCTTTTGAGAAATATTTTAACTTTTTTCAGTCTTCTTTGGGGTACACCCCATTTTGATATGGTAAAATGTTCAGAGTAGAGAAGACTATACTGAAAATGCTTGTCTGGCTCAAACGTGTTCCCTGATCCCCTCTCGTTAGATTCTTGAGTGTTTCTGTGATATTTTATGCCCATATAATAATTTACTAAGTTAAAACAAATGAAATCACCATTTTTTAAGTCAGAGTATAGGCAGTTTTCATTTGGATCAATGTAACATGTGTCTTTTTTTTTTTAACATGAGTAGGAACATAGTACACATCCTGTTGTATATCTTGCTCTTTTTATATTTAAATCTTGGAGCTTGTTGCATATCATGTTTATAGAGATATATACACCTTGTTTTCA